GCATATTGAAGTGAATAAGTATGTAGTGTCAAATCAAAGTAATAAAAAGTGATTATAATGTAAATCACAAAACAATTAACCAGCCACATTCCCAGGCCCAACATGGGCATTTTTGCTCCAGTAGAAAGTCGTATCATTGGAACTGCCATGTTTCAATCACTTTTAAGCCTAAAAAATTTAATCAAAAAAATTATTATGATTAAAAATTATCATTTTTAATATTAAACACCCATTTTTGAAGCAAATAAAGCAAAAGTCATGCAAGTAAACTGAAGCAAACAACACGCAACGTATGATGATAAGTTTGCTCTCAAAACAACGTGAACTCCACCTTGTTTTCCTCTTTACAACTATTATTGAGTACTTTTGATTGAATCTGATCGATGATTTATTATATTGACTAGTAAGCAATCAAGAAGTTGTGTTGGATGAAACTACCAAAACAAGCGTTTGAAGTCAAAATATTCGATGCTGTAATGAGCGACTTCTGCACTCATGTCTCTCACAACAGAGATATTACTAAGTTTCTGAGCAAAAGTACTTTTCACAGGCAAAAAGCAACTAAAGACTGGACTATCGCTGAAGAAGCATTTAATTTCTTGCTTAAATGTGATCAAATTAATTACTAATCTTGATATAGACACTGATTTTGATGATCATATCTTCAGAATTATCGTTATTTTCGCATATTTATCATACATGAAGAAATTTGTGATCGAAATATTTAAACTAATCAATAATCATATCAGGAGTAAGTATGTATCATTTTGTTATTTGAACAAAATTTTGTACAGTTCAGGAATTAAATTTATCTCACAGAATGTGTAAAACAAACACAATGCAAAATTATTTTGTTTTCGCTTGCAAAAATTTTTATCAAATTAAAATATGCAAAAATAATGTGCAAATTTGAATGAAATAGCTTTATTCAGTGAATTGACAAGTGTAAAAATGCAATATCAAAATGAATTTAGTCTAGTTGCTATCATAAATTAAAGTGATTGGAAGTAAGACTAAGACTGATAAAATTGAGTAGATTAGAGTCGAAACTGATCAAATCACATAACATTTATAAAACGTAAAGTGAAACCAAGTAGAAGAAAAGATTTAAGACTTTAAAAAATTAGCAACAGACTGCTAGCAATGTGTTCTGTTGCACATTGTTCTCGATATGCTTCATCTGTGATCATCCGCAGGATTTAAAAACTGTACTAAAAAAATATGAAGCTTATCAGATTCCAACTGCTCCTTGCTCAATAAATACACATATTCGAATAAATAAGAATAAAAAATATCTCAGTAAATATTCACGTGAATCGCAAAATGTAGTGATATAAACGAATTAAGGCATTCAGGAAAAAGGAAAATTCTATTAACATTGAAATATTTAGCTTCATATTTTTTATATATGCACAAAAAACTTAACGATTTGAGGATAAGATCAAACTAGTTCATCAATTTACTTTTTGTTGTTTTATTATTTTCAGCAAATTTTTACAATTCTTATCACGTTTAAATTTCATATTTTACAATTTTTATCATAAAAATTTCAATTCCTATTGCATTTAAATTTCAAATTTAAATGTGATAGAAATTTAAATAAATATGAAACTTAAATATGATAAGAATTGTATGACCTTATGTGAAAATTGTATTAAGTATGTTTATCAGTTAATACCAAAAATTATTATGACTTAAAAAACTTTTAAGCAAGGAAAGTATCCTCACGTAAGTGTACTATTAAACTTGAAAGACAACTGAAAATACAATACAAAATTTGTACATGAAGTACAGATAAAAGTTTTACGCACTGATACAAATCATTTGAAAGTTTTACTGATTTTTATTGACATATATTCGTATTTTTTTACTCTTTTCAAAATGTATAAAAAAATATTACCACAAAAATTTGAAATGATTTTGTTACATACTTTCAATAGGGCCAACTATTCTAACTTGGCATCAATTTTTATACTTTACTAAAACTTCGAAATCTTTTGCAAATATTTTTGAACAGAATACTATTGAACTAAAAGTACTAGATGATTTATATCTGTTTACTTTTTTCGCGTATTCACGCTCTTCACGTGTAAGCATTTGTTTGTTCACGTGTACAATTTATCTGTATACTCCTTTTATTAAAATCTTCCAGCTGTTTCTTTTTATAAAACGAACATACTATATGTTAATGAAGCTTGAATTTCAATCAGCAACTTTAAAAAAGTAAATATTCAAAAAGTAATAAGAATGCTAGCTTTGCACTAATAGAAACTGTTTAACGTATTACGCATATAAATGCATTCAAAAAACCAGAACTTTTATGATATCATTAGCGCATTTTACGTTAACACGTAAAAGCACAGGTTTCAATTTCTATACAAATTATAATTGCTCTGCAATATTTGTTCTGTGATGCAATATTGACTTTGAGCTGTTTTAGTCAACTATGGTTTTCTAACAATCACTAGATTACGATACAGTTTTTAAAATTTGGGTAGCTACTATATCAATTTTTGGGTTTGTTGCGTTTAGTGGGTTATGGGTTTTGGATAGCACGGTCGTAGTGTCGGGTCATGTGTATAGTATGTTCACTTTTGTGAATCAGAGTTCATTAGCATTAATTTTTTTTCTTACAGAGTTTAAAGTGCTATATTTGTTGTGGGAATGTCCGCGTCATCTTTTATAGATTTATTTTTTCCAAAAATAGGGTATTTCAGGTCTTTAAAACGTTCCAGCAACAAGCTTAGAGCGATCCTTGACTCACATAACGATGGGCAGGGAAGACAAAGCGACGTGGAAAGCGAATTACTTCGTTAAGATAGTGGAGTTATTAGAAGAATATCCAAAATGTTTTATTGTCGGGGTTGACAACGTTGGTTCGAAGCAAATGCAAGAAATCCGTCAAGCTATGCGTGGTGAAATTTTTCATAAGATCTTCAATGTTCTTTTATGCTACGAAACTTATTTTTTTTAAGTGAGTACATTACTTATTGCAATTTAGGTCATGCCGACATTTTAATGGGTAAAAATACAATGATTCGCAAAGCCATTCGTGGTCATCTTCAGACTAATCCGGATTTAGAGAAACTGCTTCCACATATTGTCGGCAACGTGGGGTTTGTTTTTACCAAAGAAGACCTTAGCGATGTTCGTGCAAAATTATTGGAAAATAGACGTGTAAGTTCTATCGCTTATTATTAAAAGAAAATTTTAAAACATTTGTTGTTGCATGATAAGAAAAAGATTTGTAGGTTGGTACGGATAAGTGTCATCACATAGGCTGTTTGTGCAGTCATATGTTTTTTGAAGTCTTAAACTCAGTTTTCTGATAGTTTTATCTTATTTTATTTCAGGGAGCTCCGGCAAAAGCTGGTGCTATTGCTCCATGTGATGTCAAATTGCCACCTCAAAATACTGGAATGGGACCAGAAAAAACATCGTTTTTCCAGGCTTTGCAAATACCAACTAAAATCTCTCGTGGAACCATCGAAATTTTGAATGAAGTACATTTAATCAAAACTGGTGAAAAAGTTGGAGCATCTGAGTCGGCTCTTTTAAATATGTTGAACATCATGCCATTTTCGTACGGGCTTGTTGTGCGACAAGTATGTGCATTTACTTTGCATTTGCCATTATTTGTAATTTATCGTATTTAATTTGCTCTGAGATTGATTTTTGTACTAATTACCTGTTGTTAAGCTAACTTGAGTTATTGACCAGATCTTTTAAAGGTCTATGAAAATGGGACGGTGTTTGCACCAGAAGTTCTTGATATGACATCCGATGATATTCGCGGAAAGTTTTTGCTTGGAGTACGAAATGTTGCTGCAGTGTCAATGGCAATTGGTCATCCAACGCTTGTTTCGGTGCCTCATTCGATCGCTAATGCCCTCAAGAATTTGTTGGCTATTGCTGTGGAAGCCAATATCGATATGAAAGAAGCGCAAAAAGTTAGTCCAGTACATTTTAATGAAATGTCTTTTTTTCAGTTTTCAGTTCCATAATTTTTTGATAAACTTGATTGTTTTAGATCAAGGAGTTCTTAGCAGATCCATCGAAGTTCGCAACTGCAACAGCACCTAAGGCCACACCAGTGGTACCATCTGCTCAACCAGAAGCACCAGCCAAGAAGGAGGAAGCCAAAAAAGAAGAGTCATCAGATGAAGATATGGGATTCGGGCTTTTTGATTGAACGATATATCTCTTTGTTAAACGTTATCTATTAATTCTGTTAATTTGAAAATAAACTTATTTTGATCACCAGTCAATTTCTTGTAACTGGTTTTTACCATTTATTACCTCCAGTTTTTATTCTCGTTGTTCTATGTTGTGTATTTATTTTTGAATGGGAGTAAAGGTAGGAGAAAATTAGGTTTATGAAATGGAAGGACCCGTTTTCGCAGCCATGGTATGAATGCTTCTCTATATTGCGTTCGGCGGAATTGGCTTCATTCATTCCATTCATTTACTGGTTTTTAGGTAATCGGTTAACAGCTGGGCATATTATTGCTTTAACAGCTAGACGAAACAAAGATGCTGATTTTCAAAGATGCATTCACAGGTTTTGTTACTTATTTGAAGTTTTGTTATTCCTTGTCAAGTTCCTGTTCCTTCTCATTTCGCAACTTTCCAGTGTACTGTTTTGCAGAAACATTCCAGATAGTTTATTGTAGTATTTCTTGTCTTTATTTCAGCTGAGTCGCTCAATTTTAGTATGCCACATTCCTTAAGTCTAACGAATATGACTCTTTCGCACTTTGTTGACCAGTTATTGGTGAGCAGGTGTCGTGAGATGTCTTTTATGTTTTTTAGGCGAGTATAATGTGGTAGAGTATATATAATATGATAACTTAATTTCACCTCTTAGTCAACATAAGGGACAACTGAAGTTATCTACATTAATTAATCTTCCAATTTTTACTGACATAGTATAGATTGCTTTTAAAAATCTATGCTCAATTTTTATACAAGCCACAAAAAAATCGTCTTCTGGAGCTTTCTATTTATTTCTTTGGAACTTGCCGCCTTTATCCCCAAATCTCAATATCAGTAATCAGATTTTTTGCGTATACCATTTATATAATTTCAGACCTCTAAGCATTTTTGTCATATAATCATCTGAATACAACTTTCAGATGACGAACTCGCGTCAGATTCTTTCCCAATGAAGTTAGTTGATGGACTTATCTGGGAATTCAAAGGACGTCAAGTGATTAGGAGGGAAGGTGAGATTGTACTTCCTGGAGCTAACCCTTCAGCAGAAGGCGAAGATTTGGACGAGGGCACCGAAGAGCATGTAGAAAGAGGCATTGATTTCGTGCTGAACCACCGGCTGCAAGTTAGTTATTAGTTAACCATATATTGAGCAAACATTGGGAGACGTAGTAGTGATACTTTTAATTTTTTTTACTTTTTTATCTTGATTTATTTTTTTCAGGAGATGAGTTGCTACGAAGATATAAGTACTTTCAAATCTTACTGCAAGTCATTTATGAAGAAGGTAGTCGAATTAATGAAAAAAAACGGAAGGTCGGAATCGGAAATCGATGATTTCAAAAAAAAGATTCAGGCGTGGGTCGTATCACTGTTGAGTAAAGAACGATTTAAGCAGCTGCAGTTTTTCATCGGTGTGTATATATATATATACTTCCTCACTTTGATTGAAGTTCACATGGGGCAGGTGCAGCTGATTTTATCGTTATTTATGTGTTCACAGCTCCTCTGGAAGAAAGGCGTATAATTTGGTATGCAATTTCATATTTTTAATATGAGATATATCATCTTCAGGCGAACGTATGGCACAAGGCTACGGCGAAGGCCAAGTTGCCGTTGTTGAATATAGAGATGAGCAAGGTGGTGAAGTGCCATATTTGATGCTTGTGAAAGAAGCACTTGTTGAAGAGAAACAATAATTTGATTTACAGTCACCTGGTTGTTACAGTTGTTCATTATTACCAACTTATGATATGTAATAAAAACGTCAGTTTGTTATTGCCTATTTCAAAAAATTGTTCACTTTGGTTTTAAGAGCCATTTCCCTTAGAACTATGTTTTGAGAGGCTCTTGTTAAGTCTTATTATAACTATTTGGAACTGTTCATCTTTGATGATCTGCTGAAGTAGAAGGAATTTACTCTGATCTACTCTCATCTTTGTAAAAGTGTTAATAAAAAAATCTCATTTTGCTCTCGCTGTTTTCTATTCCACAGATTTAATATGAATTGAGAAAGACTGACCAATATGCGGAAGATAATTTAGTGCATTTATTTGTTATTCACTACGCAGCGCTTAGTGTGGAGGGTTTAATTGGTGAAGGGTTTTTGTATGCTGATGATTACGAGTCCCTTTTATATTGGATACATAATTGGCGTATGGCAGATGTGCTCACAGCAAGGTCTCCGTTATAATTCCAAGGCGTGTTTGAGAACTGGTAGCTGTAGCTCAATTAGCGTTTCTATTTGTTCGTAAATTTAGATTTGTTGTAATTTACATATGGAAATAGAGGACAATTCAGTGAGGAGTAATTGATGTCTTTTGATGAGGCTGCAATTGATTCATACTTGTCGCGCGTAATTTCTCTCTTTACTTACCGGTCAAGACCAAGCTCAGATGATATCCAAGTTTATTTCACTAACACTACAGGGGATATTGTCATTTTGTGTTGGGTTAATCACGAAGTAAATAACTCTAGATTCTGATTTCCATCTGTTAAGCTATTCGCTAAGTTATTTCATTCGTACAAATCACTGAGAGATTTTATTTATTTTATAGCAAATCAGTATTTAAATATTATCAAATTATGAAATGGCAATTTTACAATGCAGCATTATCATCAATGCAAAATTTTAAGAAGTAGTCTCAAGATCTGATTTTGGCTAACGTATGCTTCAAATATAGCTGGATACCTTTTCAGGGTGAAATTATTCGTTATATGAATCTTGGTCCTGATCAGACTGCAAGTGTAATTACTTTTACTGGTAAGCTGTTTGCACCAATGTGAAAAAGAATTTTTGTGTATTATATTCAATTTTAGGCCATTACTGGATTGCATTGTTTGTGCACGGCTTACCTGCACATTTCCTCCCAAATCGTTCTGAAGCTTATTTAGTCGTAAGAACGCATCGCTATCGAGCAGAGCAAGTCTATATTACAAGAAGAGGTTTTTTTTCTCGTCACGTCTTTTTGTCTAATTTGTTAGATATGTAATATTACATCAAATGGTTCATATGTAGATGATTGCAATCTAGTAATAATAGCATAATCTTAATTTTGTAAGCTCAAAAATATTTTGAATAATTTGGAATGGACAGATCAGCGAAATGGTGAGATGTGTTCCATTTGATGCAAGCGATAAGCGCTAATTTATTAAATTAATGCAACACTTTTGAAAATTTTGAAAAAAAAATACCATCATTGATTTTTACTTTGTCAATATATTTTGAAATCAAATTCACTTAAATATTTGTGCAGTGCAAAAATAATAGTATGTTTCTGTAATTTTATTTAACAATATTTTTTATTTTGGAAAAATATTCTCTAATGTTGTTACTTTACAGTGACCACGTTGTACGAAACCTGTATTCAATATCTAGGCGATTTATATTATAGCAGGCAATCAGATCTGTATAATCTGCCTCTTCCTCGACTCGTAACAGTTCGATTTTTCTTCTTATTTCTGCTAATAATAATAATTAGCCATGATGACGTATTTTAGTAGCTTTCATAATCATCAGTTTTGAAATAGCTGTTATCAGCATAAGCTTAGTAAAGCTCGTACAATCCACTATATTTTGTTATTTCTATTCTCGTTACTGTCAATTTTCCATTACATAGTATTACACTACTGCATATATGATTCTGATTGAAACTTTTTAGTTTGATATTATATTGTATACTCGACGAAGGTTTTTATTTTTGTCATCTCTGTACCACTCGGGATTTCGTAGAATCCTTCCGCGCAGATATCAACGAAATGAAGATGGGGAAGGTGAAGTCGAACATGTCGGTGAAGAAGCCTCGGAAGACGGAAGCATGGACCAAGAAATCCTGGAAGAAGCCTGAGGTTATTGACTTTCTCAAAATCACAGTGAATAGAATTTCCTCCAGTTAGATTCATTAAGTTCATTTAAATTGGAATATTATGCTAATAACCTGCATAAATGTATTGAAAAATAGAAAATAATTTATATTTTCACCTTATGTATAATTATTACTGAATGTTACAAAAGTTGACTTGCCTCGTTTGTATATAATTTCTCTACCATGTCGCAAACATTTTTCTGTGCTTTTACGAATATTTTATTTTTTACAGAAAAAATTGTGGAGCAAAGACGAAATAATTTGCATTTTGAAAAATGAAGAAGGCGATGTTTTTCCAAGTGCGTTTTATTTGAATATGATAAAAAATTTCAAGTTTGAAAATATCAGACAGTTTTAATTCAAGTCTAATTGATCAATTAAGATCGCACCAGAAAATTCTAAAGCTAAAAATTATTAAGAAATTATAGTTATTTGCAAATATAAGATTATATGTAAATATTGTTACATTTTATATATATAATGCCTTTATATAAAATGTAACAATTCTTTATGTATATATATTTCCAAGTTATTTATTTCAGAACAGTTATTTAAAATATTTGCTAATGGACAAATTGATCTTTGTTTACAAGTGATTTCGGAACTATCCATGGAATTCTCTGATTTCAAATTGAGCGAAGTATTTCTCACTTATTTAAAAAAAGAGTTTGTGACCATGAGCACCTTATCAGCCTTTAATAACGCAAAAAGATGGATTGAATACATTTCAAACAATGCTTCAGGAATAAGGTTTCATTAAATTATTTTGAAGTCATTCTTCAATCTTATGCATTTTCATCTATAACTATAGAATATTTTTAGGCATATGGTTTTATTTTTATTCCGATCTATTATATAAATAAAATTATTTTTCATTCGTGTCAAGAAACTGAAACACTGCTTATAAAATTAAATGTTTGTCCTGATGTATGTTCATCATTGCAGAAATCATTGTCTATTACTGAAACAACTTGTACGTTGCACAAATTTGTTGCAAAATCAACAGCTAATATCATTATTATGCGAAGCATTACCATTAACTTACCAAAAACTTTGTGACAGAAACCAGTACTTCATGGCTTCTACTATCGCAGAAATACTTTTATATGTGATTGTAATTTCGGCTAGTTACTGTGATCAATGTGATTTAAATGCTTTATGGAGTATATGGTGTAAACTACGTAGTACAAAGGTGAGTTATATTTTGACTCTCCAGTGTGTAGTCCGTTAGGTCAAAAGAGCTAAAACATTTTTAAGCTTAGAATATTAGCTTGTTTTGTCCAGAATATGGATACATATGTATATTTTTCAAGAAGTAATACTCCTAAAAACTCATGTAGTTTGTGTTTTTCAATATTTCTCTAACTGATCCCAATTGATCGGTGCTGTGCGTTTTTCTCAATCAAATAAATAATTTACTATAACTTCACAGGAATGTGTTGGATTAGCTCATTTTCATTTATGCACGGTTTTGGTTTCGATTTCATTGGATTTGGATTATTCGCACCATATGCAGTTATTTGTGGAAAGCTCGATCCACGATTTAGAAGAAGATGAAGATTTTGCTCTTAATCATAAGAAACAGGTTTGTCTTTTTTTTTCATTTCATTGTAGTATTGTTTACCAGTGTTTCCAAGTTTACTTGCTGACTGTTATGAAATAAAGGGAGTGGTTGTTTTGTAAATTTTTCTGGTTACTATGTTAAGAAAGAAATAATTTGACATTTTTTGACTCTCATATCACAGAAATCCATTATTTGTTGACAATTTAGAATTTTATTCAGTTTTTTATCCTGCTGGAAGCTAATCTGGGGCCAGTTTTGACTCGTTGTCAGTTGAATCAAAGAGAGCAGCTGCTAAATATTCTAATTGCTTACACTGTCGAAGACAATAGTGTAATGTTCTTGATACTTTTTATAGTTTGATTTATGGGGAACGAATAATGACCATCATAATAATTTATCATTAATATGTTTGACTTTGAACTTTGTTAAATTCCAGGTATTGTTCTAGAAATTAAAGTTAAAATTTAAATTCTACATTAGCAAATTATTAGGCTCATAATTATACTGCTATACTTAAATGATTCAGATCTCATTACTTTGTTTTCAGTTACTTTCACTGGTCCGAAAAGTATTTTCTCATTCAGAGTTGCTTAATACTCATTCTCAAATACTGCAGCAATTCATTGGATGTTTATTGCTAAATTTATCAAGTAGTGTGAACGAAAGTTCTCAACAGAATGAAAATGTAAAAGAGTGGATCGAAAAAAGCGGAGCAGCATTGCTGAAGGAGCTTGAAAACCATCAAAATGAAATTGAGTAAGTTTTTGTGCGATTATTTTTATCGCCACTTGGATTTTTTATATTAAATATATGGAAAAAATAGACGCAGTGTTACGAATACTTATTATAGTTATATGGATAATTAGTATTTTTCGATTTTATTGCACTCACTTTCTTGATCTATCATATTTGTTAATCATTTGCTGAAACTAGCAAAACTGACATCGATTCTACAAGACAAACAGCAAAAATTTTCACGAGATTAATTTTAATTCCAAGATAAAAGTGATGATAGTTATACACGATGGTGTATCCAAACAGTAAATGTAGAATATTTATTATACAGATTCTGGAAAACAATGATAACATCCATTCCGGTTCCATATCATAATTTGATAACAGGCAAAAATTTTCATCAGATTATACAAGTAATCTATCACAATGATTTTCCATTTACTGCCCTGTCTACTTCCTGTCAAGTAGCTGTATTTTGCTTGTCGATTTCATTGCTTTCTTGCATACCGTCTGAAATATTTGATCTTGTTATGGAGAAAGTCTTATCAGTTATGAGGTTAGTTCAAGTAATTAAATCATAACTTATATATTTAACAATTCATATACTTTGATTAAAAATATTGGGTCTCAGTGCTTGATAGCATATGTCCAATGAGATCACTGAAGTTGTAATATTTTAGGAACATGTCTTATCATTAGTGTACTGCTTTCATATAGTAAGTTTTTATCATTGTGAGTAGTTTTTATTATTTTACATTGATCTTATTGCTTTGTAGATATCAACCAAAGCTATTTCGTGATTTGTTGAGTTCTTGCGATGTCAAAATTATGAAGAAATATATCAAAATTTTTCTTTGCTATGGTTACTCGAGTCCGTTTTCGGAAAACGCACAAAATTTAGTAAAGGAATTACTCTTGAGCAGTAGTGACCACAATGTGCTTTTCACCAAGGTTTGGTTTTTTGTTGTTGGAAACATTTTGCTGACAATTAATTTCTGTTTGATTATAGATCCACTTAACATTTCTTTATTTGTAATTTGTAAGTCGTGAAAGTCAGTGACAAATTTGAGTTTCACTGCTACGGAGCAGAATTTATGAAATTTCGCGATGCAGTTGTTCAATGGAAAATCAGAATGATCTAAAATTGATTTCTAGTGTGATGCTGTTTTAAAGAAAACTGCTCGAAAACTTTCGGTAGAAGAAAGGCATTATTTCATCAAGCCAGTCTGTGATGCAGTGTCTGAATTCTCTGATAAAGTAACCGCAGAGCGATATAATTCTTATAGAATTTACATTGAAAAGGTCATTTTTTGACACACCCTGAGTTTTATGTTTAATTTTTCATTATTTCAATATAAAAACTTCACGAAGAATCTTAGTATTACCTTATAGGTGTATTTCATGAGTGTTGTCTTGATTCACATTTATTAATTAATCTAGGTGTTCGTATTTCTAAATGAAATGGTTTCTCCATTTAACTGCAGCGGTCCAACAAAATGGCCTATTTTGAAAACAGCATTATCGTTACTACAAGTTCTTAGGGATATTAGATCAATGGGTGTTATCACAAATGAAGAAGGTGTTCAATATGTTACAGAACATATTGAGACAGCTGATGAAGTAAGTTTTTTTTAGAGGGAATGCAGCGACCAATTCACTTTAGGGGCAATTGTTAGGTGCTAAAGTTGATGTAAGCTGTTCTAAATATTTCTCAAAAGGAAACTTTGATTAAAAGTTTTCAAATTTTTTTGCGAAATAGACGTGGCTGAATTGTTTTATTATAATTTTTGCACATTAAAAATATAAAGAAAAACGTTTAGATTTGTAAAAATATTTGGAAGGATCCAGAAAATCTTGTCAAATTGGGAAAAGCAAAACCAGATCAACTTTTGGAATTATCCAAAATGTCTGTTGATTGGATGGTAAAAAAGGGCAAAGTTAAGCGTCTTCTATCTTCGAAATATTCAAAGAATTTTGAATTTTATGATGAAGCAACGATGAACAATATTATAAGTAGTTCTTCGGAAGTTCAGGCTAGTTTGCATCCTTTATGTTCTGTAATTGAATGTAGGTTTATTAGTAAAAACATGAGATGATTTAAATAATGTAAGCAGCTTATTTCTATAAGTTTCTTTCTTATAGTTGAAAACCCTACTGCATTCATTTCCCGATGGTATGCCTGCGATTCAGAAGTTTCCAGTATATTATGCTCTGGTAAAACAGACTGATGAAAGCAAGAGAAAATTATTATTGACTTCGTTAAATGATGTGCTTGAAGTAGTGACGAGTTATACTGAAAATAATTATCTGACAGTTATTCGTTTCTTGCAACTTATTCTTCCGGTAAGTTCATTGAGAAATTCTCAATATCGACATTTTTTCAGCTGATCATCATTTAAATTTTTTAGTAATCATATGGTGAGAAAGTTTTTCAGTAAATGAAAAGAAGTGGTATCTGTAAACAACCTTCCCGGCATTTTTTTTAATTCAGCGGTTTTTCGGCTTGAACTTTTTAGTTGTAATAATTTGTAGTTTTATTATAGTTTCCAAAAATTTTATTTGTCATATTGCATATATATGTCTCAACTCTGCATTAAACATTTGGTAATCAGCTCATAAATTCTAAGCTTTATTAGATTTTTCAGATTGTTACTGGACATGAATACGAAAAAAATTTTATTACATTTTGTTTGACAGCTCTTGTGATCAATGTGACTAAATTGACCGCTGATTTTGTTGCTTTAAGCAGTGCTCTTTCTCTTCTATTGGTAAACATCTTTCAGTTTATTAATTTTACTTACCGAAATGAACGGATTATTTTGACACGTTCCTGGTTTCCGTGATTGTCTATCTTGCACTAAATAATGTTACTATCAGGACTGCTTACGATTTGGTGCTCAGTCTGTGATCAATGATCAGTGTTCTCTTTATGCAAAATTGTTTGTAACATTAACACGAGCCGTTCAAAAATATGCAAAGGATACACTGTCAGCTGATTCTGAAATCACTCGTCATTTATCGTATAAACTTGCTAAAATCGCTCATATGATGATGAAATTCGAACGTTCATTCTCGCGTGTAAACTCTTTATATCTGATTCAATTAAGTCTTGGCTTTAGATATTTTTGATAGTAGCGGAATTATTCATTTTTTATGTCCTTCACCGCTGTTAAGTTAGTAGTCAGAACTTGATTAAAAAAATACCATTTGACTCTAGCACATGATTAATATTTTTCTTATTGATCCATTTACTTTACAAAATCGTTCTCAGTTCTTCTACTATTTAAGCTCTTTTCGTTTACTGAGTAGTATTTGAAATTCGCATTTTTGTTATTGTTTGTTTTTAACCAAAATCTTCAGATCGCGCCTTTTATTTTATCCGAGTGTTTGGAAGATGCTAAATACGTACCGTTAGCGTTGTTTTGGATTTTTTCAATGTGTGATGACCACAGTATAGCTCTGCTCACTACCAATCTACCTCCGTTACAAAAAGCTCGACTTGCTCATTTAAGTTTGCATTTTTCTAAAATCAAAAAAGCGGTTGTTTAATTGAGCTTTGTGAGCAGTATAAAATGTTTGATTTGAATAGTCATTGTCTTCCAACATCAAATTATTATGTCTTGGTCAGTGAAGTTTTTGATGTCTTAAATTGAATTTGTCTTGCTACAATGAATCCCTGTATTTTCAATTCAATATTCTTTGACATTTGACTGTACGGGTAACTAGCCTATGTTTGTATGTCTGCAGTTCAGTAATGTATTTTGTTGCAAGTTCTCAGGTTTATGAATTTGAAATTTTTATTATAGCAAGTTACCTCATAAAGTATTGTTGAATATTTTCTCAAATTTGTCCAATTTGCATATTAAAGCAAGTAAAAAGAAACAATTTTATTTTTTTGAAAACCTAAAATTACAATGGTCAAGTTTATTTCAGAAGATAGAAGCATATCCACGTTTTCCACTGAGGAAATCAAAGTTGAAATAAAGTTTTACAGTATCCATATCTTATTTATACCGAAGATGGTTTGTCACAAACAAATTCTAAGTACTTATAATAAAAGAAAACAAAATTATCTGCACCTCTGAATAAAATACAGAAGTGTAAACTATTGCTGTAGTGCCATACATGTAATGACTTACTAAAATTAGTTGTCAGTTCCATCACTACGAATACGCCAAACTGACTGAGTAGCAAAATGCAAAAATAAATCCATGACTGGGTGCTCATAATAGATTAATTATTCAATAAAGTTAAATACAGCAGATTCGTATTATTTCGGCAGTCCAGAAATTTACATTTTTTAATCTTTCAATGAAAAAAAAAGATTTTACCATGAAATTAAGACACAAGTGCATTAATTGAAGGACGTAACTTAGATTCTTGAAAAGTTTAGGACGCGAAAAATTATTACTACGAATCAAAAACTGCTCTTCATCGAACAACCGATTAGTTTGAAGATGATGGGTACTGAAGTCAGCCATGAATGATGAACAAACTAATACTTCAAGTGAAGTTTTCATATCTCGTTTAACTTTTCATGAATTTGTTAAGAAATGCGTATTTATCCATTACATCAGTCTTGTTAGTTTGAACAGATCACCTTTGGTATGGATCGGTCTTGTTAGTTTGAACAGATTACCTTTGGTATTGATTTGTCAAATCGATCTGGAAATTACTCGTTGTTTTAAATTAAAAAATAAATGGTTTGATTGGAAAATTATCGTTTTATCACTGAATAATATTTGCTTTATGATAGATATTTCCTGCATTGGTTTGTGATATTCGAATAATTATTGTGAGGATGGTCTTTTCTATGTAAAAATTGTAATCAGTAATAAAAGTTAAGAATCAAGAAAATATTTCATGATTTGTATCACATTTTGTGCAAAAATTGTAACTGATATCTGAAATTTGTATAAAAATTTGTGCCATCAAAATTATTAGAATTACTTTTTGCAAGTTGCGAAAATTCAATTTAATACAGATTAATTGGTTTGGTTTGTTATAACACAACTGATAAAATTGATAAAAAGTTATAATGATTTTTGCACCCACCAAATTTGATGAATCACAATGCAAATTTGCTTTCAACAATAGCACATGTACCAAAGTATCGCTTTTTATTATACAAGCAAATCTATCAGTAACCGGAAAATTTAATTGGTTGTTACCAAAAAAGAAACCAAAAATGAATTTTGCGAGATTGTAAGAAAACTTTGGTTGCATGAATTATTAGTGTAAATCAATTTTTATTCACTTTATATTTATATATCTACCTTTTAATATTACTTGGTAACAAGGTAAGTAACGGTAAGTGACTGAAATTATAGATCATTTTATTATGAGAAAATATTTTTCAATTAATGAATTGTGTATATTTCTTGATAAGAAGGCAATTTAATTTTCAGGCAGATATTAAACTTGAAAAGTAATCGAAAGTTTTACTTTCCATTTTTGGCAATAATTTCTTTTTTTTTTTTTTTTTTTTTT